GATGGGACCATTTTGAGGAAGCGACCCTTGAACCTGGAGGCTGAGAGACAGCCACGTGAAGGTGCTGGAAAGCGTATTGGAGGCGCAGGCAAGGACCAGCAGATGCAAGGCAGTGAGAGTCTGCTGCTTTCCTGCAGGTCACTCAGAGGGCTGGTGAAACTTGAACTGGAGCTGCCCACTTGTGAGAAATGTGTTACACTTGGAAATGTGAGGAGCCTCACAGATACACTCTGTAACTGGGGGAGTCCGGTCATGTGGACAACTTTAGGGCCCCGGAGAGACTGGTGACTGCTTTGCTAAATAACCGGAATGTATTGGGTTTGAGCTGTTGGCTTTGTTCTTTGGTTCTTTTTGAAGGGCAGCTCTGATGCCATCTCTCATGCTGAACAGGCTTCGAGTGCTGCTCAGGGATTCGCAGGCCTCCTTCCTCGTGCTCTTCTGCGTTCATTAAATGCACCCACTGTGTGGATGCTCATCTGTAAGGCCTGACCCTGGAGTCTTAGTTCTCAGCCTCGGCGGTGTTGGAAATATTTGGGAAGGCCCCTCTTTGTTCAGGGATTCAGTATTCATTCACTCCTTGAAGAGGAGGAGACAAGCAGTCGACAGAAGTTCCTGAATGTTAGATTAAGGACAAAGACTGGACACAGAGGCAGCAGAAGCTATAATCTAGGCGCTTAAACATATTGAATGGTGTATGTGAGTTAACGATGGCAGCAGCTATTCACAGAGTCCTAAGAGCGATTGGGCCGTGCCAATCAGGAACCATAACAATGTTCAGATCCTTCGACCCAGTGATTACAATCCACGGAACTTATGCTGAAGTCATCATTTTTTTAAATGGGGAGAAACCAAGAAAACAGTGAGGTCTATAATAGCAGTCATAGTCAGTAATGACATAGTGCTTTGGGGTTTTGAACATATTTTCCTATATAGTATTTATGAGAGCATCACAACATTCCTGTGGATAGGTTTTTATTCCCATTTCACAGATGGGAAATGGAAGGTTAGAGAGATGAAGTGAGTGCCCTGCTTCACTCTGGCAGATTCAGGCTCTGAACTCCAGCATGTGCACTGTCGCCTGGTGGGTGTGCTCAGAAACTAAGGAATATGTTGGGAGTCAAGGAGGCACAGGGAAGGATCCAAGACTGAAAATAATTATTGAACTTAATGTATGCTTCGTTCTGTCCCAAATACTGTACAAATTTTACCGAAACTAATCCTTACAACAAACTTGTGGGGAAACTGGGGCTCTGAGAGGTTCACTTGTGAAGGGTTTTGAATAGACTTCAAAACCCTGGCGGGGCTAAATCCACAGCTAAATAAAGCTGCTTTCAGCTCTGCTTTATTGCCCTCTGCTTCACAAGAATGCATTGCTCCAAGAGGGAATAAATGAATGAAGGAATGAATGGATTAGGTGGGTTAGGACTTGAGACCCAGCTTCCATAGGGAAGTAGACATCAGGATTCCCACGGTTGATAGGTTCTTTTCAACAGCTTTGCAATTTCTGCTTGCAGTACAGTTGCCCAGCCTCTCCCACGAGAGTTGCAGCTTTGCTGGCCCTTGAGGCTATGCGTTTCCAATACCCTTCACCTAAAGGCTCTCTTTCTACGCTCAACTTGTCCTTTGCAAAATGCCCAGAGCCAAATGAGTCTAGGGTGAACCAGGCGTGCAGGGTGTGGACCTTTAGCAAGTGAAGGAAACAGCTATTTCAACGTGATGAAATATTCTGCAGCCATTAAAATGATAAGTGTGACTGGAGAAATAGGAAAAAGTATTGGGAAATAGTTGCAGACATCTGAAGATACCAACTGAAGCCATGTGCGTTTACAGGGATAAAGGTTGAAAGAGAACAGGAATGAAAACTGTGTAAAGGTTTTGGGATTGGATGGTGTCACCATTCAATTAGTCTACTAAGCTAGGAACCTCGGGGTCATGCTCCACAGCCCCTGCTTTTTCTTCCCCTAGATTCAGCTAGTCACAAACTCTTGTAGATTCTACATCAGTAAATATCTTAATTCTGGTGCCCATTCTTCCTCTCCATTGCTAGTTTCCTAGAACGAGCTCTTATTATCTCTCGCCTGCACTTCACAACAGCTTCACTGGTCTTCTGGTCTCCATTCTCTCTCCCACTGTAGTGCATGTTGGACACTGTGGTCAGAGTGATCTTGATATAAAACACGTATGATTATGTCTCTCCTTTGCTTAGAAGCTTCTATTTACTGGTGGTTGCCTTCAGGAGGTAAGTTCATACTCCTTAGCTTGGCATATGAGGAGGACTTTACAGTCTTACCACCCCAGCATGTGTGAACTCCCCTTCCTCTGCCTCTGTGCCCATGTGCCTTTTCTTCGTGGCCCTTGCCTCATCTCTTCAAGACCGAGCTCATCTTCTCTGAAGCCTTCACAGCCATTCCAGGGAGGGTTAGTTCCTCCACCCTCCTAAATTACAACGAATCATGCCATGTCGTAATTGTGAGCTTATAGCCCTTCCTTTTACGAAATTTTGAGCCCCTCCAGGGCAGGGACCACATGGCTTACTGTCCTCCACCCTAAACTCTCAGCATGGTGCCTGGGACATAGTAGAGGGGCAAAAACATGTGTTGACTGAATGACTCAATGACTGATTTTGTAAAGTAAAAGAGGAAATGCGAGTCGAGGGCTGATAGTATAGTGCTTGACACATACTAAGGACTCAAAAAAATGCTAGCAAGCCACCATGATTAAATTATCATCGGAGCTTAGTGCTTTTATGTAAACATCTTTTTTTTGCATCCTTCCGCTTGTTTTTTCAACCTAAAACTTTGACCTCAGCTGAAATGTGATTCCATTCATGCAGAATGATGAGGAGAGGATCGTGGAAGAATAAATTCAGCACTTAGGGTCTTGTTTTCTGTTCCTTCTTTCAGGACATCCCCCATGGGGTAGTGCTAGAGCTTCCTCATGAGTTCTTACACAGATCAGGAACAGGTCTAAGGCTGTTAAGGACAAAGGAGCCTCTGAAAGGGGCACTGCATCTTCCTCACAGGACTCATTCTATTTTATGGTTATCACTCATCAAATGGACTGTTTTCTTTGCTGGATGGTAAGCTCCCCCAGGCCAGCATCATGTCTATGTTGCTTTCCAGAAATAAAATTAGAACCAATGGATGACAGTTGTTGGGCATCAGATTTCTGATCAGTGTAAAAGAAGAGGCTCCTCACAATTAGAGGAGGCTGACCATTGTGATAATGAGCTCCCCATAAATGGAGATACCCCCCCCCCATTTTTTTATCTCCAAAGAAAATGGAGATACCCGAGCTAAACTGGATGTTCAGGTGTTGAGGATATTACAGAAGAGATTTCTGCTCTCAGTGGGAGATTGGGTTACAGGTGTGTGATTACTCAGAGCTCATATCTAAGGGACTGAGCAGGTGTAAGAACTAGATAGAGTTCAAATAGAGGATGGTGGGTCGATATGGACCAGGGTTATTTAAGAGTGGGCGTCAGTGTGTCAGACAAATGGACCAGAGTCCTTGGATTGTGAAGACTGTTCTCTCAGCATTAGTGTTTGCAAAACCTCAGCTCCCTGTGTTTAATTGAAATTGATGAAGATTATAATGGATACAGTGTAGGACCCCTAAATCATCCATAAGTATGATAGTTAGGGTAAAAGTATGAGGCCTTGGACTCTTCTTGCCTTTAGAATGTGGCTTGAAAAAGTCACCTACTCTCTCCATGACTCTCTTAACACATTTCTTTGTAATATGGCCAATATCACTTGGTCTCCGTGTAACTCGAGAGGAAGAGGAAGACAGAAGGCTAAATAAGGTTAAGGGCTGCCCTTCTATACTTGGGGCAAGGAGTGATTTCTTGGCTACATGTGCTGAGGCCCAGATAGTTACTGGGATCTTACTCATTTGACTAGAACAAGGGTTCATAATCAGGGTTTCACAGATAGGCTTCCTGGATCCAAAAATCTCCTGAAATTGTGTGCAAATCTGTGTGCATATATGCATTTTCCAGGAGAGAAAAGCGCATACTTTTATGGGGTTTTCAGTAGGACACTTGACCCCAAAATGTTTAGAACCATTTACCTCCATAGTAACGATCTGCTCCGCAGTCACATTGAAAATATCCCTGGGAGAGGTAACGTTGTGATCGTTTACACGTTAGTGTTAATGAAAAAATCTGAGAGTTTCATAACAGGATTAGGATGAGCTAGCTAGATGGGATGTTCTGGTTTTGTAGGTAAAGAGGGAGCATTTATGCTCAGAGGGAAAAGGGAATTAGGGAAAACTGAAGAAGCTGCACCCTCTGTCACATTCAACTTCTCTGTCCATCAGAAATCTTTGCCCAGAGCAAACCCCAGAACAAAGTCTCGTTTGTCTGAAAGTGCTATGAGTAGCACCGTACAAGTCTCACGTGGCGCCTGATTTCTGTTCTCAGACTGATTACTTAACACCTCCCAAGGCCGTCTCCAGGATACCTTCGCAGGCGATACCTTCGTACTCCCAGTACCTGTCGGCTCTGGGGAGCCTGCCAAGCGCATCTGCCGTGTCTGGGAGTGTGAGGCTCAGTACCTGGCAGAGAGGGAAAGGCGTGCCCACCAGTCCAGCCATTCCACGCATGGGGGGGTGATGGTATGTGACGACTTTGATGGGTTCAGTACAGAGCCCCGACCGGCGAGTCTCGAGTTCCAGTTTCTGCCATTTCTGAGTTCGCTGACCTGAGGCAGGTCACCTTCACCTCTGAACCTCAGTTTTCTATCTGTAAAACGAGACGTTTGCAAAACCCCGACCCACCCAGATGCCATCTCCGCGCGAAAGTGCTGCCCCTTTAAGGAGGGCGGGGGGAGCGGAGAAGGTGGCCGCGCCCCCTTCGTCTCCTAGCAGAGCCCTCCAGACCACCTGTCTTCGGCCTCGCCCCGCCCCTTTGGGGAGGGGCGGGGAAGGCAGGCTGAGGATTTACCTTACGGGGCGGGCGCGCGGCGCATGCGCACGGCCGGACAGGTCCGCGGCGCACTCCGCCTGGCTCGTCGCGGCTCCGCCACAGGGGCAGGTGCGGAGGGGCTCCCGGTCCGGCTGCCGCCGCTGCCCCGCTCCGGGCCCGGGGCTCCCCCTAGCGCCGCTGAGGAGCCGCCGTCGCGGCTCGAGGAGGGCGGAGGAGCGGGGCTGAGAGAGCCTGGAGGTTCGCGCGTAGGGTGAGTGATTTATTTTTACCATTTCCCCCTCTTCCCTCACAGTCCTCTCTTTCCTGCTCCGCGCGCGACCCCATTTTGGCGGAGAGGCGGGTGCGGTGGGACCGGCGCCGGTGCGGGGCTTCCTCATCCTCTGGCGCGGGGGCCCGCCCCGGCGCTGCGGCTGCCATCTCCGCGGGCGCCCCCGGCCCCTTCCTCCGCGACCCGGGTCTCCGCGGCACTCATTCATTCGTATCTTCCTTTCTTCCGCCGCTTCCTTCCACTCGCACC